CAATAAATCGTTTTACATTGATTATGTTTATATAGATGTTTAATACTGAAATTTTTGAAAAATATTTCTTATACTATTTTTCTTGCTTAATTGGTGCTGTTAGCTGATGCTATGAGCTTATTTTAATGTGTGTTTCATGATAAATAATTATGACTATAAACAATTTTTTTTAAAATTATATCATTTTCAAAAATTCGTAAGTTAACAGAAATAACATAGGTTTATTGAGACACTTTTTTAACGTATATAAGTGATTATTTAAGATTTTATTAAAAATATGAGCTGGTTAAAGAAATTTTTATATAAAAAAAATTTTATTGATTTACTATCTTCCGATTTTTCCCATCATTACTATCTCTAATCTCATACGTATTATTACATCGCTGGTAGTTTACACAGTTCTCTATTTCACAATGTAATTGTAAGGATCGTACGGCGATGTCTTGCTAAAAGCTATTATATCTCTCAATTACCCACATTTTTATCCACAAAAACTCTTTCCAACTGTTTAATTATTAATTAAATTTAGTACAAAATCTTTTGGGATATAAAAATTGTTAGTTGTGAAGTGAAGTATCCTTTTCCATTTGTTATTTTTTCTAAGACAAATGGCTTTATAATTGTTTAGAAGAAAAAATTATATGCACCATAAGTATGTGACACAATGTCAAGGCAAAATGCGCTTTGATGCAACTCTTTCTTCAAATATAATATATAACGTATATTATATATAAATAAAAAAAGTAGAGTAAAGAAAATAAAATAGAAAAGAAAAATCCTTAAGTAAATATATAAGTGAAGAAGTTGACAAAATTTTAATAAGGCACTTTTGCTGTTAACTTTTCCAAAATTGTCCTGTCACAGACGAGACCATATTTAGATGACTTCTTTACCTATTGGCGGCTCATCCTTTCATTTTTTTTTATATTTTTGTTGCTATAGAGAAGCAACAAAGTGTCGTTATACTATACAGGGTTGCATTAAATGGTTTTAGATACTAGTTGTCCTTTATTGGCATACAATTTTGTTAAAAACTTACCCTGTTCTTTACATACATCACATTTATTTTTAATTTTTTTTTGTTTGCTTGAATTTCGTATCTGTGGTAATAAAAAATTCAAAACGGTCACATAAGGACTTGTCAAAGATCACGTACTCAATAAATATTGCTTATTCGTTCATATATATATTTTTTTCTATCCTATTTGACTTGATTTTTTTCTTTTTGCTATTTTAATGGTACACTTTTGATGCTCCAACTGGTCTTCATATATTTTCCCTTTTATTCAAAGGTTATATTCTTCTTAATATATTTTTTAACGTTCTATAAAAACACTTAAATTACAGGACATGTAACTTGTAATGTCCTTTACGTCCTCTCGCTGGTTGTGTGGCTGTGAAGTGTATGTCACGTTTGGTGTGCTTTTTAAAACTATTACATCATTTTCTTAAACTATTAATTTTATACGATTTGAAATTATATTCTACAAAGGCAAAGGCGAATGAAATCAATGAATTGAAACGAAATTTGTTACGTGTGAAGGATCAGCCGCCAGCAATTAAATATGGCTGTTGTCAAAGAATATCGAACCGCCAGTAATGTGAAATTATAGAATTTTAACCAGTGGAAGCATCCGTAATTGCTATTTAATTCCAATTCGGTACAGGTGGCTGTAACATGTATTTGTAAAAATAAAAGAGTATAGCAAAAGCATACAAACATTAGTAATGCTAGGAGCAATTCATTGAAATAGCCAACAAAATCGTCGTCTATACTTTGCTTTTCAGCCTAATCAATTGCTTTAATGTTGGAAATTATTGTGGCAAGTCTTGTTATGTTCCATATTTGCATGCTAATGTAAACTTAAGATAACACAGATATCATGGACACAGTTTCAGCTCGGCAACCTATGCAAATACTGTTATCCTCCATTGTTTTGTTAGTTTGGTAGGGAATTGTATAAATTCTAACTGAAATATTTCCAATTTCAGTAAAGTTTGCCTTGCCACCAACATTGTTGCAATTCCAAGCAATTAAATCACTTTGATGGTAATTTGGATTAATATGGTGTTGTCCATTTAGGCCATCCGAGCAATTAGTTTGGCAAATGTGAACCTATTGGTATGAAAAGTCAAGTGCAATGCTTGTGCACTCTTACCTTTCCTATTTGTTGACTACGATTAGGTTAATCTAAAATAGATTTATTAGCCAGTTGCATTGTA